CACTCATGTGTCTGGTGGAGGCCTTGCTCATCCTTCCAACTGCTCCCGCAGCTCCACTCGCCTGGCCACTCCAGGCAGGGGGAGGGAGGGTGAGTGTCTCTGAATGGGTGCAGAGTGGCCAGGTGACTGGAAAGAGAGCAGAGGTCCGAGAGGAATTGGAAGGATGAGTGAGGCTGCTGCCACTGATTCCACTCATCTGGCCAATCCAGGGAGGGGGAGGGAGGACTAGTGTCTCTGAATGGCTGCCAAGTGGCCAGGTGACTGGAAAGAGAGTGGAGGTCCGGGATCAATTGGAAGGATGAATGAGGCTGCTGCCACTGCTGGACACATGCGTGGATGTGCCGGCCACAGGGGCTGGCCCCTCATTAAGTCCAGCTGTGCGGGAAGATTTGTATTTGTATATGAGTACAAATACCCCCATCTCTAGTTACAAGGTTTCGGGTTGTTTCACATAGTGAAAAGGCATATAAGAGGAAATATGCTAAGGATGTATAGAACCATGTATGGGGTCTAGAAAAAACAGGCTGTCATTATTGTAGGATGTAATGATTGCTACGAACTTTGTCAGCCTCAAAGGAAACTGAACAAATCCAAAGAAAATAGGTTTAACTGGTCACTAATCATTGTTGATCTATGTTATCTCTGGTGCCAGAAGCAAAATACCCCTATTTATCAATTTTTAGGGAAGAAAACAAATATTATATTCATGTCTTACTTGTGGGCTTTCAATGAACAACTGGTTGCTATTGTGTGGATATATCGCTGGACAAGATAAGCTTTGATCTTTTCTAGTATGGATCTCTTTAGGTTCTTATGTCCTAAATTAAGGGATTCTGAATGGTGGAATTTATTTTGAGTACCAGGAGTGAATTGAGATCACAGTCTATCCAAAAAACAAACTAATTCATACTCGTTTCCCCTAATTTTCTTTATTTCTTGTGAGTGTGGAAGAGCACTGCACTCACCAGAGTTGTGAATGAAGACCCACTCACAATCCATGAGCTCCCCTAACAGAAACACTTATTTCTGCTTTCATTTTCCTCCTCATTAGCAGCTCCTTGTTGTTCAGCTCAGGTCTGAAAAGAATACAATAACATTTGGGGAGAAAGATGCAGCCCAGTAAACCAGCACTGGAGGACAAGATGGAGAAGACCTCCACAGCCACCATATATTTACCCTTGGTGCTCAGGTAGACTGGAAGAAAGAGCACCCAAACACTGCAAAACACCAGCAAGCTGAAAGCGATGAATTTAGTTTCATTGAAATTGTCCGGCAGCTTTCTAGCTAGGAAAGCTACAAGAAAGCTGACAATGGCCAAGAAGTCCAAATATCCAAAAACACAGTAAAACATGGTAACGGAACCCTCGTTACATTCTAATATGATTTCCTCGTGCAGTGAATGCATGTCTACATCTGGGAAGGGAGGATAGGTACTTAGCCAAACTAAACAAATGCCTGCTTGAATAGCAGAGCCTGAAAGGAGAATGGAATTTGCAAGACTTTTCCCCACCCATTGCCTCATTCTGGATCCTGGTTTAGTAGCCATAAATGCCAGAATTACTGTGATGGTTTTTGCCAGTATACTGGAAAGAGCCACAGAGAAGACAAGGCCAAAAATCATCTGTCGGAGGATGCAAGTCACTTTCCCAGGCTGTCCAATGAACAGCAGTGAGCAGAGGAAAGAAAGAAGAATTGAAACGAGTATGATATATGACAAGGTCCGGTTGTTGGCTTTGACTATGGGAGTGTCCTTGTAATTCATATATATTTTAAGAACTAAACCTGTACTCATGGTGAAACAAATAGACAAGATGGATAAGATAATTCCTAAAGGTTCTTCATAAGACAGGTATGTTAGAACCTTGGGAATGCATTGATTTCGATGCTTGTTGGGAAACTCGTCTTCTGGACATTTGACACAGGCATCCATATCTGAAAAATAAAAATAAAATATTTTATTGTTTGACACCTTAAAAATGCTTTCAGGAATTTTCAGGATGTGTGTGGTTCCCAGATAAGTAAATAGACAATGTATAATGCCAGTAATATGCCAGATTTTCTTGGTGTTTCCTGTGCATTTCATGTCCTACCCTTTTGGTGAGAGGTCATTCCTTCCGGGCATGGAACACAATCATAGCAGCAAAACTCTTCTCTTTCTTTCTTTGCCTTTCTGTAGCCAGGATAGCAGTTGTCATTGCACACAGAAATGGGTGGCACCTGTTCAAAAACATGGAGGATAAGTCTGAGAAAAGGTGCGTGTCCTGAGAACACCTGGTGTGCAAGTGGCAAGCTGTTGACATGAAGAAAGAAGCTGGATTCC